TTTTTTTTTTAATTTTTTTTCTTAATCTATTTCTTAATAAAAATGGCAACTAAAATTTCCACAGAATTATTGATTATGATTTTAAATAACGTTCATTCAACTCAAGATTTATATTCAACATCATTATCAACCGATTCTGGTGTAAAGTTACTATACCTATACTTTGGGAATTACCTTTGGGTCAAGAATGTAGTATAGATAATAAGAAGAAGTCGGAGAAGATGTTGGAAAAGAAAGCATTATGCATTCGAACTTATATATCATGTATGAATACTCAAACTAGAACTTTACTTACTCAAAATGGATACGATTTATCATCGTCACCACCTCAAGCTACTTTTGATTATCCATCATTTACTCATAAATTTATAATTAATAATTTAGTTTATTTTATTTCCATATATTCACCACAAATTATTAGTCCAGATCAAAATAATTACAATAATAAAAAGAAGAATAAAATCATCATTACGAAATCGAGAACATTATTTCGAGAGATATGCAAATTAATAATAAATCGTTCATTTCTGGATTATTTTAAATTGGCTGAAAATTTTTATAATAAATTTAATAATTATAGTGATTTAATTGGTTCAATTCCCAAGTTACCTGGTGCTCCGAAAGTATTTAAGAAATTAGAAAGTTTTACTTCGAAGATAGGAGAGTATGAACGAATTTATCCATTTTATGAATCATTAAAATTAATTTGTGATAATATTTTAAATATGGATTTGAAATTGAGTTCAACTAATTCAGTAGAATTATTAGCAAAACTTATTAGTGTTCAAAAACGGTTAGAAAATCTATCAATTGTTGCTGATGCTAGATATTATCTAGACAATAATTCAATATTTTGGGCGATCATTAGTCAAAAAGAAACATTAAAGAGTCTTCGTATAAAAGAAGTAAATTTTTTTCGTTTCAAGGGGAAATCGTCACCAATTGGACAATTTATTTCACTTCAAGAACTTCATATTGAATGTTGTTCTGGATTTCATAATTCAGATTGCTTATTCTTGGCTTCATCATTTACTCAATTAAGTAGTATTCATTTTACATATACATATCAAGGTTGTCCTCAAGAATTTATTAAAAAAATTCTCGAAACGGCCAATACAAATTTAAGAAATATTTTCCTAGATTTACATCCCACAATTATATCTGAAATATTTTCAACAATTTTAAATTATTGTAAAAAGATTACCGAATTAACTTTTCTAAATTTGAATCTTAAACAAGTAATAGCAATATTTAATAATAATTTTATTGAATTAAGAAAATTTTCATTTGATTGTGGAAGAAAAAGATTTGATGCTAATAAATTATTGTGTAAAATGGCCGAAAATGTACCAGAATCACTTGAAACTATTGAAATTAGAATGGGGATATTTAGTGCTAATAGTTTAAGAAATTTTTTTGAAGGTTGGGGTTGTAAAGAAAGAGGAGAAAATAAAAAGTTTATTGTAAACCGTACAGAAGAAGCGCAACTTTTTACATTAAGTGAAAAACATTTTAAAGTTATTGAAGAATATGGAGTACAATTTGATATAGAAGCCTAAATAATATTTCAAATAATATCTTTAATATAATACCAAATTAGAAATAATATTT